TAACCGTTAGCGGTATCCGGATACCGCTAACGGTTAGCGCTAACCGATCGGGCGTTCTCAAGCAGGTGCTAACGGTTAGCTCCCGATCCGGATACTAGGGCTCTCGTGAGAACCAGGCTATATACGTTATCATCATGCCCATTATATGGGCATATCACATAACATTTGATAGTGTGGACAAGAGCATTAGAGAGCTTTAATATTTTAGATATTGTGTGTTGCTATTATAGACAACTTAGGCCTACTTGATAACTTCGCTTTCAGTTTTCTTTGTTCCTGTTCCTATTTCTCTTTCTCTTTTTTCTGAGCTTTTTTGTCTATTTCATTCGCAGTAGACCAAGACGAGTTTCAAAATAGAATGAAAATAAATAAGCCATTATACAAATAAGCATTATACATACTGACAAAGTCTTTATTGTACATCTGTTTTAAAATATACAGCCGGATATAATCCTGGTAATGTTCTTGAACTATGCTTGCAAACTACACCCTTCACTTTGTTTGTTTGCTTGTTTGTTTGTTTTTTTTTTTTTTTGGTTTTTTTTTTGTGAATTAGCAATTTATATGATGAGGCCAATATTAATATCATCATCATCATCCTCATCATCAGAATCATCATCATTGTTATTATTATTATTATTATTATTATTATTATTATTATCATTATTATTATTATTATTATTATTGTTATTGATGCATTGATATTGGCAACATTACATTGCAAATTACCATTACATCTGTAATAACAAGTTATCATGGTTACGTGTTTTTGTCTTAATTTCAGATTATTTCAATGAAAGTTACTTGTTTGCATGACCTATTCACACTCACCACCTAACGGTTAGCAGAGTATAGATCACTTAAGCTGTGTCTTACGATGATGTCATATCACATTTTTGAGTATCTTGTAACCATTGTATTTGTCACATAAAACTTGATAGAGAGGTAGATATTATATGTTGCTGGAGTAGACAGACCTAAGCTCTGCCCAGGTTATCGAATTTTGTATCCCCATTATATGTCATGACATGCCTATAATATAGTAAAAATGTGATGTCTTCATGATCATATTTAGACATGTCACATGTCTTCCTCTAATTTATTTTTTCTCTTAGCTTTCACAAGCCGGTTATTAGTTCGAATAGTTGACCACACACCTGCTGGTTATTAGACATGACTTTAGTGGAATGGGAGCGGTTGGAGCAGCGATTGCGTTCTCTCAGCCTCTCGAGGTCGGGGCTCGAACCTTCGCTGTGCATTTCGCTTGTGTGCGCGCTTGGACAAGACACTTTACGTATAGGCCTACGTTCGTCCCTCTCCACCCAGGAGTATAAATGGGAACCCTACTGGGGAGGAAAAAGGCGGCGTGGAAAGGAACTGGCTACCCTACCACACAATACCAATGCTTAGTACGATGGGCTGGCTCATTTTCAGGGGCGGATTTAGTGGGGTCGGCCCAGCCCCACCCCCTCCCACTTTTTGGAAAGTAAAAAAAAAGAAAAAGAAAAATAAAAAAAAATAATCGCTCAAAACGCCTCAGAAGTAGTTATTTTCGCGGGGGAATGCCCCCGGACTCCCTAGGGTGGTGTTATCTCAATCGGCCCCACTTTCACCCCTCCCCCTTTTCGGACATCTCTGGATTCGCCCCTGATTCCCCTACGTTCAATAATGAATATGAGACTACCTTAACCTTCATTTTTTAGTAAAATCGTCCGTTCACTTACTTGCTAGTTCCTTTTTCTTTAATTTCTTTTTTCTCTCAGCTAAAATCCCGCTGTTCCGAATCAGTTTAGCAATACCATAATTCCTTTTAGTGCCACGCGTGTTTCTCGAACGTTGATGGTCACCTATGTGTACATACGACTTAATAAAGGTATCATCTGTATTTAGTCTACTACTACAATTATACATTTCCATCTGCTGTTTATTTGAAGAAATGAAGTCACCAATGCCTCTGGTCTGCTCTGAAATAAAATTAACTTCTAAAATAACAATAATACTTACGACATAAGTTCTAATAAATATTGTAGGCCTATATATATTTTGGGATTAACATATATTTTAATTTTATAATTATTTTCACATTATATATATTATTTATTTTAAGTTGTATTTTGTATTTCGTATATACAGTACATTGTTACACATTTAAAATAAATCTCTAAATTTAATTAGGCTAGGCCTTGGCCGGCCCTACGGTCTACTTTACAATAACCTTCAAACGCAATATTTAGATTAAAAACGATTAATGAAATTTTTATAAAAAGCTTGCACCAACCAAACATTATAAAATGATAGGCCTACTTGAAAACATTGAATAAGATTTATTACAGAAACAACAAACAAAACACTAATTTTGGGAATAATATTTGGCAACAAATTGCAAATTACATTAATTATTCAACCACACAGATTTGCCTAGTCTACTGTCTACTGGCACTGGGGATAACGTAAAAAGTATTGATATGATAACATTTTTATTCTTGGTTTAAACAGACGCACAGAAGCGTCGCTATTCAGAAACCTCCATATCATAGGGTAGTGGTATCAATCAGTAGAGATGCATATTTATGTCTAGGATAGGCCTGGGCCCTAATAATGCCTGCTCTTTGTCGGGATCAAACAAAATAAACTTTCTTCACCTACCTTCTGTCGTTATTAGATACATTTGTGTGTAAAATACAAGAGAGTATAAATATATAGGCCTATTTGCTGATGATACTTTCATGGATTCGCCCACACTAAAATAAGTTAAAATAAACATTAATTTAATTAATAGCAAAAGTCATGAGTAGGTACTCAGGGCTGTGTTACCAATTTCGTTTCCTGCGTAAAGAAATTTCTTATTTTAGAATTATGTTAAGATTGTTAACAGCGTCAATTTTAAATTAAAACGAAATTTAATCAAATTAGTGTTTAGTGCATGCATAGCGGTCGTTAGTTAACGCAAACGCGCATGCGTAACATCCGAACAAATTCGCGCGTTCTTTTGTTTGCAAAAAGAACATATACTATAGCAACAAAATTGTTTTTATTTCATTCACATAATACCATGATACTACAGTCTACTAAGCAGCAGCTGTACACTTACGAATGTTTACAACTAGGCCTAATGTTTTTATCTTTTGTGAATATACGTAGAATATTTAGGGGGCCTAGACCTTAATAAATTATTGTTAGGCCTAGACGTCTGTTATTATTATTATTATATCAATTGTCTAAGTATATAATATGATTACAGACGACGAGGAAATTGATTTTAATATTGAAGTAGCTGATCAGCGATGTTTTGTGCGTCTGTTTAAACCGAGAATATTGACTCCATTGGAATACATATGCAATTGCATTAGAAACTACAACTTGGAAGCCTGTAGGTCGGTGATAAATGTAAGGTTGTGCTCTATTCAAATACATTTATTTACTTTTTTCAATGTCCTTATATTAACTTTTTTAACCATCTCGTTATGATGAAAATATTCTACAATTTTAATATTATTATTATAATATACAGAAAATAAATTACACGGTAGGCCTACACAAAGAACTACGCAAGGTCTAGCCTATGCATAAGCCTGTAACTGATGAAATATATTTTTACTAGGCCTAGATTTAAAATGCATCTTTTTAGTTAGGGTCTGTTTCTGTTCAATTTGATAAAATACCAGTTATTTTTTTGGCCAAGCTAAATTGATAATAATGAATTGTAAAAAGAAATGTGGATAAAAAATTTCAATTTTTTTAGATATTTAAGACAGATTAAAGTAACTAAAGAGTTCATCTTCAATATAGTCTCTTTTCTATCAGCATAATGACGTAGCTAATCCTAGCCTAGCACTTAAAAGTAAAATATAGGATATATATTTTGGTTTTTCTTTTCCCAAATGAAATACTTTGTTGATGCATATGAGGGAAAATGTCTATGTTTTCGAATGGCACATAATTATTTCGCACCGGTGATTTATAAAAACAAGTATCATACACCATTTACGGGAGCGCAGCATTTGTATTTAAACGCCTGTAAATTATCCTAATCAATACAAGAATGACACCATTATAATATATTGTATCAAAATTGTGTCACTTAGTCCATGACACTGTCAATCAATCAGATGAGTAATAAATGACAATGAAGTCAGGTTCATGTGCAGTATAATAAATAGAATTAAAGTTTCAGGTTCAGACTGCGATCATCTGTAATCGATGTCAGTACGCGTGGCTGTTTTGCATAGCCTATAGGTCTTGTGCAGCAGACAGAAAGCATAATACACTGGCCAAGAGCATCATAGCCACCTACCGTAGTGGATCGGCCTTGTTTTAAATCACTGTGTGAAAGTGCATATTTATGAAAGCTGACTGGCATATCAATGTTGGGCCTTTATTAATCTTTCTATTAGTTTGCTCTTTTCTTTTTTTGGTAGGGACCTATCGACTGGAGACAGATTTTCTCTGGAACGAATCCACCAACAGACCCAAGTTTGATGCCTCTACATATTCTTTGCAATCAGTTTCCATCGAATTCAGAACTAGAAATGGCACGATTGATACTTAGCTCTGGGTTGAATCCCAACCTACAGGACAACCTCGGACGTACTGCAATCCACTGCCTTATAAGGAGACTTCATTGGGAACGTATGAACAATCGATCGACAGTTATTGACGTTACTTTGACACGTGGGTTTCAATTGCTAAAGTTGCTCATCCAGTATGGAGTTTACGTCAATTTGCAGGATCTTGACGGCAGAACTCCAGTTCATCTATGTGCATTTTACAACATCGTAGGGTTGGTACCAACTATAATTCCTATTGTGCAGATGAAGATAGATTTGGAAATTGCAGATGTATTCGGCAACACACCCCTTCACATTGCGGCAGACTACTGTCACTTGGGTTTCCTTCAGGAACTGGTTTCTCTCGACGCTAATCCCGGATTTCAAAACGGTAATTCGGAAACAGCTCTGCATCTTGTTGCCAAAAACTTCCTTAATCGTGGCGTAGAATGTGCCACATTTTTGGTCTCCGAATGTAAAGTTGATGTAAATCAAAGAGATGACAGGAACGGGCGCACACCATTGCACATTGCTTGCTTGCAGAGTAGAAATCGTGATCGAATGGTTAGCACACTGATCGATTTAGGCGCAGACCCGAACATCGCAGACGATACAGGAGAAACACCGTTGACTCTCTACTTGCAAAATCACTTGAGTATTCTGCAGGAGTATTTGCATCAGAAGAGACCACTTGCAGATGTCTATGGTATTAGTAACCTGGGTGGCTACATTGACCATCTCCATGGTCTTAATTCAATGCTGAATGAAATGTCACAGGTGAACATTGGAGCATTACAAGACATCAACAATATCTCCTTCGAAGATAAATTTGAATCTAAACTCGTGATGGACAAGCTCTTGCATAGGGGTAAAAATCCATCTTCGTTGCAATTTATTTGTCGATGCTGCATCAGACGAATACTCAAGGGAAAAAATATTTCCCGTAGTTTACTGACGTCATTAGAATTAACTAATCCGGTTATTGACATTATACTCTTACCCCTGAAGAGAATAACATTAGCAGTTGAATATAATAGTCATACAAACGAGCCCACGTCTCCATTTTTCCTTTGGAGCATGCAGGGATCCTACAGAGTTACTGCATACACATGGAACCAAAGTTGATAATGCAGGCTAAACTATTACCCTAAAAAAAATTAAACTGAAATAAATAAAAATTTATAAGGATTTTTTAGATGTTCACATCACATCAACTGATAAAAATTAATAGGTTCAAACGTATGAGTATGCAAGTCATTAAAATGAAGTCTTTTTACAGGTTGAGGTCTTTCTACAGATTATTTTTTTCTTTTATGCCAAACTTATGCAAGTTCTATTACAAATACGCCAGTTAGACACGAACCAAAGTTAAATAGTATGGGCGAGGGGGTCATGTGAACACTAGTTTCTACCATCAATTTTATTGCTTCAGTTATTCATAATTTTTATAATTATGTTTAGACTATGAATTGAGCCCTCTATAGTTATATTTTATGCGACTGGCTTTCAGAAAAAAATTATAATTTCCGTTTTTCAGATTTGCCCAAAACTAGTAAATGTCGGGGTTTCTAGAGCCTCAGAGGGAATGAAACGTTTTTGCATGATACTATTCTGTTATATTGTGAACAAGTGTGAGTAGCAGCACTGACGTCATAAAGCTATTTCTTTAAGTCAGTTCCAGAAAATTTATGGATAGTTTATCCAAAATGTATTACTGTATTTTGCTCCCTCATCATCAACTCCGGAAACACAATTCCATTGCCAGCGTGACAAGGTGTGGTTGACAGATCATTTTAAACAACAAACAACTCAGACTGCCATTATGCAGACAGCCTCGCTGTCAAATATAGACAGTGTGTTAACACAGACGAGGGGAATTCGATGTAGATTGTGCCAGGCTTAAGACTTAATACTGTACAACATACCACATAGAATGACAAAATGGCAAAAACATGCATTTCCTCCCATAAATAATCAACAGTGACAAATGCATTAAAATTGTATGGGGCATAAACATTTTATTAATACAGCACCAACATAAAAGAATAATTATATTGAATAATGTGATTTTTAGAAGGATACTAATATTACGCTTTTATGTAATTATATCCCAGGCATATTATACCCCTTTTACACTGCAAGCAAAATTCCGGACGGAACCCGGGATTTTCCAATACCCGGGTTAAAATCTCCCGAGTTGTGGTTATAGTGTAAACGTCAAGAAGTCCTACTCAGGTTGCCAAACATTCAGCGTAGGACAACCCGGGTGCATTCCGGAGTCGCCAGTGTAAACAGCACCGAATTCCGGAATTAGGCCTTACCTGGCGTCTATCGCAGCTGTGGTCAGGTAGGCCTAAACTTTGCCTACAATGGGCTAGGCCTAGACACTTGTCAAATTAAAACCTCTACGCTCCGGTATAGACTTGATATCAAAACTGCTGATTTAATTTGCATAATTTAAAAACAATCTGCAGGTACACTGCTTCAATAATTGACAATAATTGTGGCTTTGTGACGACGAGGAACTCAAGCGAAGTGATGATCACCATCGCAACAAAAACTGAGGGCAGTATTTGAACCCGAGTTCATTGCCAGTGTAAAATGGGAGCAACTCGGGATCAACCCGGACTTTTTCTTTCGATGTAAATGGGAAATGCACCCGGGATTACTCCGGAAGTAACCCGGGTCGATTCTGCCTTTGGCAGTGTAAAAGGGGTATTAGATACTCTGTTACAATACTTTGGTTTTTGTAATATAGATACTACACTTTTTTGAACACTGTAAATATAATCTTTGAAGCAATAGCATTTTATACCAAATCTCTAATATTATTAGAATATAAACTGATGCAACTGAGTTAATACAGCAAGGTATATTAGTCATTATTGCTTCACAACTAACCATAATTCAAGACCTTTAAGGTATCTTCTTATAATTATAATAACATTGGTATTTAAATCAAATCTGTGGTGTGTAAGGACCCAATGAGTTGTTGTTCAAGTTAATCGTCTGATCGGCAAGCACCCTCACTCTATCAATTGTCCGATGATCGTGCAATATTTTGTACAGTTTCTCCAGGCCACCTTCTTTCCTCAAAAGTCTGCAGTACTTGTCGGCTAGAAAAACCCACAAAAATCCATCATTACTACACAAATTCGTATCTGTATATTAATCATATTAAACCTGTGTTAAAAACTATGATTTATGTAAATGAAATTCATTAGTAGTCTCAGTTTCCCAAACTTTACTATGGTACAAAAATCAAAAACTAGCAACTAAAAACTACACGTCTGAAATTCATACTGGGAAGTCAACCTCATTAATAGAAACACATAAATGTGGGAACAGTAGCAATGAAAGCATAATAGCAAAAACTTACAACCCACATCCAGGACAGAATAAAATAAGGTGGAGCAGACATAAGAATTGTTTATAGAATGAATCAACTTAAGATCTGGAATAGTTCATCAACTTACGGTCAACATTGCAGAGATTCGTCAACGCCCAGACTGACCAATACTGGCAAACCGGTGTATGAAACTGGTCGACAAGACGGAATATGGGCTCAAATGATCTAAAATGAATTGTAAAAAGAGGCACACATAAAAGTAACTTCCATTCACAATGTGTAGAGTGATTAAAAAACACGGCATGTGAGCTTGCAAGATAGTCAGTTACACACAATCTTGTCTAAAGAGAAAAATAATGAAGTGATACAAAGCATAGTTTTATGTCGATTGACCTTAGATACCATAGGATAACGTGCATGCACAGTTCAAAACATGAATTGGCTTATTGAAAGATACCTAATCCCAAGTTTTTGTATGAAGAATTTACAATTTAGAGGAAAACTGGACAAAAACCCAAATAAGGTTCACCTGGCCAAAGTCGGTTCCTTCCATATGCAAATTCCTCTAGAAACTATTTAGAGGAGGAAACTAAATGATTTCGATGATGTGTTAATCTCATGCCACATAAATTTTGTATTGTAAAAAATAAGCAAAGCTTATTTTGCCTCTGACGACGCAAAGCTGTCTGCAAATTGTTGATTCATTGCGTACACATTACGACATGTTCTCCAAAAAATAGTGTCAGCCAACAACCATTGCCGCAGTGTGTGACTACAAAATATCTGTTACTGTATTTCTTTATATAATTTTATTCATTTTTGACTAGGATGTTACTTATAGTATTAATAATGAACAAATATTTTTTTACCCACCATGAAAACATACATCATGTATGTATGATGGATAAAATAATCTCAGAACAGTATTTATTTATGCAAATTTGGAAATTTTAAATAATATTATAATAACATCATCTTTACCGGTAACATTCCAGAGCGTGCTCCACGCTGTTTCCATGACTTCGTCATAGGATTTTATTTCTACACGTTTCCGTATTAAAACAAGCATGCTCTGAAATAAAGGCAGTATTACAAATTACAACAATGTTACAAATTAAAGATGTACTGTACTGCCTGCTAAACGAAATTGGGAAAACCCTAAAAAATCAGGTTTGATTCAAGTAGCTCATTTAAAAAGGATGAAATAAGTTTTCAGAAACAAACATAAAAAGAGTATTTTCGCTAATATCAGACATTTTATTACAAAAATCTTTAGGTTGATTACCAGACAATTTAAGGGTCTATGGAAAAGAATACAAAAAAGAAATTACTTCAGTGTCCATTAATTGATGGGGAAAATTTTTTCTCATTCAAATTTTTAATAGCAAGTTAATAACAAACTTATATATATATATAAGGCAATTCAAATAAGGAAATAAGTTTTTAATTTTTTTTACACATGACAGGCAGTACATCAAAGTCTGCACAGCAATTACTATGAATGAATAGTATAATGAATAATGTTACCCACAGAAAGAAAAAAAAAGAATACTGAAGTAGCATGTATTTGCAGTTCCTGGAATTAAAAATGGAGGGGAGCAGAATTTCTCAGATAGATGAAGCTCTGTACACAAAGTATAAAATGTACGTGAAAAATTTGGGTGATGTCAGCTGCGCACCCACTGCATTGTACGAAGGACGTACAAATGTCGACCGATGAACCTAACTCCACTAATTGTAAGCGTTAGACAACGTAAACACCGTCTGCTGATTGTCGGTTGCAATCATTTAAAAAAATGACGTTCTAAATGGAACCGCGTCAAACGACTACCATCATGCGCAGCGAATGCCTGGCTTTACACATAAAATAGGGCCATATCACTTCAATTTTTCATACAAAACTTTACCTTTACAACTCCTAATTCGCCCATCAGTTTCTTCTCCTCCCCTTCTACATGACATACGATATTGTTGCACATGTATACGCAGAGTCGTTCTACTATCCCATCAATGCTCTCGTTGTTTATGATATTTATGAGTATCTTGGCGAGGCGTTTATACTGGAACTGGAGATCGAAAGGTAGCTGGAAGTTGTAAAGGGTGAGACAGCAGTTTCTTTGGAGTGTCAGACTTTTCGTGTTGTTTTCCATTGCATCCAACAGAGCGATGATGATACGTCTAAAATCGACACAAATATTAGTATGTATTTCAATATAATTTTATGCATTAACACTTCATAAAGGCAGCTATATATGATAAGACTTTTTTTAGTCTGGCTCTAAGTACCATCAAACATTTTAAAATCTGAAAAACATGTGATAGTTGTGCATGCAAGAACAGATGATCTAGTATAAGAAGGAAATGTGATCAGATGGAATACATTTGATGTAAGAAGGAAATGTGATCAATTGAATGGTATAAAAAGGAAATGTGATCAGATGGAATGCATCTGGTATAAGACGGAATGTAGTTAGATGGAATACATCTGGTATAAAATCACGGAAATTCTTTATTCATCATTAAATTCCAAAAAAACAAATAACAAATGCAAGGATAATATAATGATATAGATGATGAAATGGACCTCCAATAAATTCAAGGGAGCTTGTAAATAGGAGGACCATTAAACTACCTGTAAAGCTTTTAAAGTGAATAAATCTAAGGGGGAAAGAGACAAACAAACAAACAAAAACAAACAAACAAAGCTAAACCTAACAAGGGATTAAAGTGAAAATTCAACAGGGGTGGGAGAGTGGTATTCTATTGCCAGGATAAACAAAATAATGCAATGTATTGGTGTTAAAATGGAAATATTTTGGAAATAGAAATATGGGGATTTGGTTTTTAGCGTCATATGTTTCAATGTAAAGATGCACTTCATAATTTCTTCCTTGTATGTTGCTTAAGCTTTTACGAAAGTTTAATTCCAATAGGTTGATTATTTTTTTAAATATCTGATTTGGGACGTTTTTCTTTAAATGGTTCTCATATCCACACCCTACTCAGTACCGTTACCAAAATTTAATCATTCCTTCATTGGGTTATACCTAACACTCCCTGTAATTTTCAATTATGTCTGTGCAGCCGTTTTTGAGCTATGTCATACACAAAAAAAACCAAACGAAAACACCAAAACTTGAACACACACACAAACTTACACAACTGAAAACATATATCTCCTGGCGGAAATAGTAATAATAATATATAATATTTCTTATGACGTAAAAATTAACAACTGCACTAGACCACACATAATATTAAAGTATAAAAAGGAATGTAATTAGGTTGAACACAGAATGTACATACCTTTTCATGGTGAATGACAAATTCCTTTCGTAAGTTTCACCCGAAATATGATACAGTGATGCACTTAAAAAACAAAAAGAACCATTATTATATGTACCTTGTTTCGCGAACTTAATTTTTTTAAAGACAATCAGAGGAGGGTGGAAAAAAAATAAAAATAAAATTTTGTTTTCTTATTTAGCAAATAATTTTGCCAACACATCCAGACAGTGGAAAAAATAAAAATAAAATTTTATTGGTAAATAGTGTAGTAATGGTGAAAATGCCTTAAATTTTAAAATAATTAGGAAGGAATACACATATCTTAATTTTGGAGATTTCAAGGCAGTGACGGGCATAATATAAATAAAGAAAAACTTTTAATATTTTCAGAAATTTCCATTATTTGTGGCGGTGGGTATGCTAATTGAACCAAAAATGTTATATTTATTCAAAATCATCATTATTGGCGGGCGGTAGGTTTGCTAAGCAACGTATAAAAAAAGTCTCGCCTAGGCCTTATAATACAAATAAAAATGCCATTAAATAAAATTATACCATACACATTGAGAATAAATCAAAGCTACTAAAATTACCCAGCCGGAATTTTCTGTTCTTTACTTCAATAATTGCAACCAATAGATATCTGATGTTATAAGTATACTCACCTGCCAGAGATTTGAATGGGACAATCTTGAGGATGTGATTTCATGGCAAGTGCTATAATCTAAAATGGAAAACAATTACCTCAAATAAGCTTTCAAAGCCAGACTCAAGAGGAAAATTTTTTATTGATGAGTTGTATAAATGATTTTCAACACACTAAAAGGCGGAGAAAACTTGGAAACGTTAATCCTATAAAAGATGATTTTTGAATATTTCAAAACTTGGGAAAAGGTTGGTTCTAAACAACCATGCAATGTGAACTTAGACCCTCAATGAAAATATGGAAATATGATTAAATGGTAAATAAAAAAGTGGGATGACCACAAAAAATTAAGAAAAAAAGATGATTATGGAGAACTGAGCCAACGCATTGAATCACGACCATTCAAATGGTAAAGGGGTCTAAAAGGTATGTTTCATTTGGAATAATATCTAATATTAATAATTATAATCCACAGACAAATGAAAACTTACATTAGCAGCTCTTGGTATCTCACTGCAATTAGTTGTTTTTATGACGTCAAAATAAACATTGAGGGCTTTCAGAAGGAAGACACTTCGACTAACGTAAGCCTCGATGGCATTCAAGACTTGTTGTTCATTGGCTTCACCAGCGACCTTAAAAATAAATGCAAAAAAGTAGTTGTTTTATATGAATCTTGTTGAATGTACCGTAGTCTTATTTCTGAAGAGAAATCACTCTTAAAAATACCTTGATTGCTGGGAGATAGGTCAGTTCGCAGGCTGCACAGCCCAGGAGACCTAGGAACTGTAAAGGCCTAGGCAAGGACCTTAAGCCCTCAATACTTGAGCTTGTCGCATCACCTTCTGTAAGAATTTCTGCATCAGTTCTTAAATCTTCAGTCTGCTCTTTTGCAAGCATGGCTGGAGAATGATACTTCAATTTTGATTGATCACTTCTTCTGTAAGGAAAATTAAACATGCTTTAATAGTATACCCTCAAAGACTGCCCTATGTCTGTACTGGTGTATGTGAAGAAGTTATAGAATGTGTTATTATACTCAGTGATTCATAATATCTATGTAGGCCTATGTGTCTAATGACCAGAAGTATAAAATAACTTCATTACAATGCAAGAAATAATTACACTGTCAGTCCTCATAAACAAAATAGTTGCAGAGTACTGAGGTCTTTGACATCCGCTTGTGACAAGGTGTCAAATGTTGGAAGGATATTAAGTCACTTTATCATGTAAACAGTAAGCAATTATGTTGACAAGCTGTTAGATGAATGCTAGAATGATGTCCAATTTAAATATATGACTGTGCATGTGTATAAATGCAAACATTTTGCAACACCAATGATGAGAAATGCTTCTCAAAACAATTCCATTCAGTTGATTTAACAATCACCTTCAACAAATAGTTTTGGTCAAAATAGGGAAAACAAAAATTGTATTTAATATTGAAAGTAGGAGAGAGAGAGAAAAAAGTATATAATAAATGTATAAAAGAAAAGCCTGAGTCACAGACGATGAACAATATATTTTAATCACCGTCTTCAAGTCAAAGCCTCAAGAGCAGTACGCCTTTCAAATGCAGATTTTACAAATTCAATAATTAACAGGTTTGATGATATCATAGTTTCATACTCATCTCAACCCATAATAAAAAGAAATGTTTGACCCTTGACATGTTGAAAGCTTTCATCAAATTCATCATGGTACTGTAAATGGGGCACTTAATAACTAAATCGTTTGTATACATGGTACATGAGACAGTTCAGTATGAATTGAAACATCTGAATACTATGCTTACATTTACCAAGAACCCAGATTCTAAATTTGAACGTACTTTTTTCAGATTTAAAATGATCCTCTTGTTTTTACTGTAAAATGCCTTGAGGTCTTCAGTTGTTATAACTTTTGGTAGTACTGAATTATTTAATATTAGGAAAAGTTAATTAAAAACTGTATTCATTAAAAAGGTGAAGAACAGTCGCATGATGCAGGGGCTAAGTGTTCCACAGCTTCATGGGAGTAAGGCTATTGCAAGCGCTGTTGCTGCCAAGTGCCAGTGCCAAAATTGAGGTCCAGTGGACGATCTGGTCGCCAAAGCCATTTCAGGACATTTAGGGTCAGTCTACTCTATCAAATTTTATGTGACAAATGTGTGTGATGTGCCCATATAAGGGCTTGTTTATGTCATATTACATCCAAATATGGGCATTTCACTATATCATAATACTCCATTGCAGACACACATTGTGAATTAACACAATACAAATACAAAGCTTTATTATTCAACGAATATAGTGTCGTCAGAATAACTAAAAAAATTAAGAGTCGTCTCGCGTTTGTAATGCTCCTACACTAGTCATATTATGTAAATGATGGTGCTCACCCATTGCCATCTGTTTCTACGCTATTCCCTGACAAATCCAATGAACTGAGGTTCGGTAAATTCCTACAAATACTGTGAAGAAATGCTGTCCGAATGTCCAGTTTGTCAGCTGATGTATTTGAAATATCCAAGTGTCTGCAAAGAAAATGATTGATGCAATTATTTTCATATTATAATCATAATAAATCTAATTAAATTAGTATGTCACAGTTAATTGTTTCCAAAATATCATATAGTTATTAAATTATAATTGCATTACTTTGTTTCCTGCACACTTTTGATATTTTACTGTGTGTGTGTTTGTTTCTTTGCATCTATTTTCAGAATTATTGCTTGTTTTGATGCTCACTACAAGTGTCATGAAGAATACTTTTTTTTTCTTTACTTGGGGTTCCTTTTAGAGCATTGCCCTCTTCCATTTAATCAAATCTGTTAATTTCAACATTTCTTGACACTTTTTTTTGTTCTTCTGGGCTGTTTTCAATTTTAACATCCTAATTATATTGTTTGATTCGATGTGGAAGCAATAAATGTTTATTTGGGGTTGAAGATGAATTTATTTTTATTATTTTTTTATTTTTTTAAATAATCTTTTGTACCCAAGCAAAATTGCAAGTTTGAATAAATATTTCCATGACTTGAAAGATTTACTGTTCTATTATTAAAATAATTGCATGGATTTTATTATACCTTAGATTAACCATTGTACAAATATAGTCTAGACTTGTTTGAATCAACATGCAGTCATGAAGAACGAGAGACTTCAGTGATGCCCGAAGCGGATTCAAAAACATCAAGTCTCCATTCTTGACAACCTTTGACACATCCAATGATGTCAATTGTTCAAGCTCCTTCATAAGACAATAAAGCTGCACTGCATTTATTTCTGTGTTTGCGATATTTAATAATCGCAGATTGCGAAACGCAACATCCTTCATTCTGTTGTACCCTTTGATAATTGCACAGTTTTCTAACTTCAAAATTTGCAGGTGTCGCTGTTCATCTAAACACTGAAAAGCACAGGGTGTGATGTTCTGACAGTGTGATAGATCCAATTCAATAAGAGTTTGTTTACGCACATAAGACAAACATCTGTCGGTAATGTTCGAACCTGACACTTTCATTCTCTCCAGACGTGTCTTGTTTGTGTCACTGAAAAGCTTCATAAATGACTCAGATATATGGCCAGACTCTGCTTGTAAGTTTACAAGTTTATCGCTAATAGGAGTGCTAAGTACGGCATCGTCACGTAACTTAACAAGTTCCCCTTCTTTATTCACCACACAGTACGTACTAGGATTCTGTGCGATGTAGCAGATCAATCTATCTACCAATGAGACAGGGATGTTGTCACTATAATTGATACTGGAGCCAGTCATGGTTATGGTGGAGTTCTACAACTTGGAATTTGCAATAAAATGTTTAGTTCAACTTTGGTTTAATCATCTGTCATTGAAACAACAGGCTGTCTGAAAAATAATGATAGACAATAAATAAAAACAAGTTCATATGCACCTGTATAATATAAGACATGCAATCTGTGTGTCAATGTTTGTAATATAATGTCAGTATGCAACTCATCATTGGATTCATATTTTCATTAATTTTCTGTTAATTTTAACTATAGGCCTACATTTACTGTATACCATACTGTAAAGTTTTTAATTTCATGGATGATACCTCAAAAACCAGCTCAAATTTGTGTGGAAAATCGCAAGAAATGTAGGTGTGCAGAATTGTAATTACTGTATAATACATTGTTTGTATATTAAGATTAGGTCAAAGCCTAATTTTCGGCAAAACCTGCAGGGAAATAGGCCCTTATTTTGCGAAATGCACTGAAAAATTTCTAGGCCAAATTTTTGCGCTGACGATATATTCCCGGTGCAGGCCTTCCTGGCGGTATACTGCACAGAACCACATATGAGTTTATATTACTTTACTGTACTGCAGGTGGAGATTTCTTTTTCCAAGACATTTGAGGACTGTTGTGGAATGTGGTTAATTTCATTTCAATCAAAGTTTCAATTTAATCTAGGTAGTACGTGCAAACAAAACAATACAACATGTAACCTCTGCTCCAAATCAAGTCCTAGCTGGACCATGCTGTAGGTAGGCCTAGGTGCTAGCTAAAAAAGTAGAATCTGATTCTGACACTGTTAGCCTAATAAATTATAGAATAGACTCTAGATGCTGGATAGACTAATTGGCTAGCAAGAAACAGAGAATGCTGAAGAAGGCGGCTTTACACAGCTCTCTCTCAGTATCTCTCCTCCTTCCTAGACCTAGGCCCCTACCCTAGCTAGCTAGGCCTACTACTTAGTACTACTACTAACTAGGCTGGCGTAGTAGTAGGCTAGGCCTTGCTCTCTATCTAATTTAGGGACACTGGTCCTCAGCAACAATTCAAGGCATTCATGAGTCATATCAGACTAACTCCTTGTTTACAACTCACATTCAAACGTATCAAGATATCATCATTAATTAATCAAAGAAAATATCACAATCCATTTCACAAACATCAGCCATCCACAATCGCAAAAGTTGACGAGGCAAATCCAGGAAGGAATTCCCGGAAGTGGTGCCACGGGGCGGACCAAGGTTGTTCAACAGCGCAGGGAAACTTATAAGAATGAAGCGAACTGTGTTGGTGTTTGTAATAAAAAAAAAATAAATATGTTTTTATGATATAGATCCTACAATTATATATCTACATGTTAGCATTTTGTTTTCGTAAAATGTGGTTAAAAACTATTTAAATCTTGACAGTAAGCCAGTTTCAATTTTAATAGGTTCGGCCTTTAGTTTTTGCTCAACTAATAAGCCTAAAGGCGTAGAGGGCGCTGTATAATTTCAAGATGGCGGCTGCCTATAGAGCCAGGTTTGTTATGGTTTTTGAACTAATTTTAGGTTAATATATCAATTTAGATCAATAAATAAAATAAATCGTTAAAAATGCATTAAAAGTATCCGGTTAAATTAAATGTGCATTATATTTAGCTGTAAACAATAGGCCTAGGTTAGACAAGTCCTGCTGCTCCAGGCCTGGTCGGACTGGGTGGGACTCTTCTGCTGTCTGTAGGCCTAGTAGTAGTAGTAGCTGTTCGCAGCGGGCTGGAGGAGGGCGGGTGGGAGAACTACTGGCATACCACTGCAAATCAGTATGTATCTGTTAAAATAAAAGTGAACTTTATTTCATTTTCAAACTAGGCCTACTGTAGACCTAGGTAAGCCTAAACTATAATAGGCCAGCGCTAATGAACTTTCGCACCTAACTTTTAATTCTTAATTTTTTTACTTTAATTTTCTTCTCACAGTCACAACGCATAATTATAAAACATTTTTACATGATTCAACCACTCATAAAGTGCATTTTTTCAACAAAAAGATACCTTTATAAATATAGGTTGATACAGGGTTTCCGCGCTTCCTAGCACGACGAGCTGTATTTTTTTGCAATCAAGTCTTTGCCAGAATGTCCGAGTCAATTCTTAAATTTTGAAACCATTCAAGGCTATTCTATATTTTTAATCGGAATTTTCCCATGAAACATCCGACAACTAAATGTGGCATCATGCAGTACTATCTTTTTGAACTTTCTTGTCGTAATCGAGGTTAATCGAACCGATGTTTATCAATTGGTTTGATAGTTGTTTTTCTGGATTAGGAATAGGCCCCTAGCCGGCGGCCTAGGCCCTACTTTTTCGATCTGTGTACGCATTTGGATCATAACTAATTTTTGAAGTAATTATTGTACGTGTGAATTTCATGTGAACACACATAGTCAAACAACAGCACTATACAATATAAAGAATGACATACAAACGGCAAATAGATAAGTTTTCATAAATGTTTTAAATCAAAAAACTTCACGCTGGAAACTCAGACATTCTGGCAGTTTCTTTACTGATTGCAAAATGGCAGCCGCTCGTCGTGCTAGTGAACACAGATTCGCTGTACTTATTTGTGGGCCTATTTGTTGAAAAAGGTACTTTGTGAGTGGTTAAATCATGTGAACATGTTTGTTATTTATATGTTGTGACTGTGAGAAGAACATTGAGGTAAAAATATTAAGAATTAGAAGTTCTGGCAATTTTTTACTGATTACAAAATGGCAGCCGCTCGTCGTGCTAGCGAACACAGATTCGCTGTACTTATTTGTGGGCTTATTTGTTGAAAAAGGTACTTTGTGAGTGGTTAAATCAGGTGAAAATGTTTGTTAATTATATGTTGTGACTTTGAGAAGAACGTTGAGGTAAAAAAATTAAGAATTAAAAGTTAGGTGCGAAAGTGCATTAGCGCCTGGGAGGCCTAGGTACAGTAGGCAAGGCAAGTGCAAAATGCACTACTACAGCATGTTGGAATAATAACCATTTTCTATTTAATTATAAGTCTAATTACGGTAATTAGTTACTTGACCACAAATTGAATGATTGCTTTTGGTCTAGGGCAGAATAAAAACAAATTCACTATTTACAGATTATTGCTATAGTTTTGTTTTTCTTTATTGCGAAGGGAGGGTTATTTTTAAAAATCAGGAAATGAAGTATTTTTGAAAGAAACAAATTAATTTAAGAGAAACATAAGTTGCATGTTTGGGCAAAGTGTATTGCATACAAAATGCACATATAATATCTATGTCGTAGTATGGTGCTTTCCACGAACAACATGATATGTTTGAAAGGTAAAAAAAAAGATATTTGTATATACAGCATCAAACTTTTTTGAATATATTCTCTATGAGCCTGAATAAATAATTTCACCTTTTCCTTCTAGGTTGGCTAAATTTGAGGATGTTCTCAAGCAGGACAAAATCAATCTGGATGAATTTCAGAAAGAGTGTTTTAATGGTAAATGAGCTAACAATACACTACTGAGATCAGCAGTTGTCCAACGTTGAGAGAAGCTGTTTAATGAGCATCTTTAACACATCAATTGTATTTGTAGCAAAGACAAGCCAAACCAGTTACTCGTTGCAAATCCTTTTTCAGAGATAATGGCCAAAGCATGGTGGAATGTAAAAATTGTGGAAATCTTTATATATCTATACGTCATGCTATGCTGTTATTTTCCCTGTTTTCCATTTTTTTACTGGGAAATCAAGCGACCGATTCGAAGCTATAAAAAATAAAATTAGTAAAATAATTAGTAATATATTGATAAATCACAAACTAGGAATGAATTCAAATTAAGGGTATATTTGCAATATGCCATTCCATCTTTAAGATACACGTTGACAGTGCATGGATTATCTGATACACAACTTAAAATTCTCGATCACATTCACACAAATACCATAAAAAAACTGGCTTAATATTGGAAAACATGGTTGAACACCGGCTATCTTGTTCAGCCCAGATGGTCTCAATTTCCCAAGAATTTCTTACTTATATCTTGAGTCCCATACATTGGCATTTGCCAGGTGCATGGCAAATGCTGATAATCGGGTAATCCATGCACTGTCATCTAAGCTAGAAAGGGAATCCAAATGGACACGTAAGAACAAAAATAATGGTTCAAACCAATGGGAAGCCGTTTATGTTAGGGCTTTAGAAAGTAGTGATAACAGGACATGGTCAAAAACAAAACCTGCTGTAAAAGAAATTCTATATGAGGACAGAAAAACTTTTTGGAGTAATTATATACAACCCTTAATTCAACAGGGCCAGTTACTTAAAATAATTAAGCTAAATGAATGGGATCTAACATGGAGAGCTAACATCTTTAGTTTACCCAGAGGGGTCCTTAGCTTTGCTGTTAAAGCCTCGATTGACTTCCTGCCAACTCTTTCCAATCTCTGTAAATGGGGTAAAAAAAATAACTGAATCTTGCAAACTTTGCGAAGGTAGAGAAACTCTACAACACGTCCTCAATTCATGTCCAGTTGCACTGGACCAAGGGAAGTTTACCTGGAGACATGATTGCATTATAAACATCCTTATAAAAGCCTTCCAAGAACATAGAAAGTTTTAAAATATCCATGCGGATCTAGCTGGATACTCAATATCAGGGGGAAATATCCCACCCAATATTCTTATAACCAATAAAAAACCTGATATCACTATTGTCAATAATAAATGTATCGAACTATATGAACTTACTGTACCACTGGAACCCAATATTCTCAAGGCTAATGAAAGAAAATCATCTAAATATGTGGAACTCGTTGGGGATATCCAAGATAAGGGGTACCAATGCAAATTAGTATGTTTGGAAATAGGAAGCAGGGAGGTTATATCAAAAGAAAATGAAATGCGCCTTAAATTAATGTTTAAGTTAAACTCATCTCAATTTAAGAATTTGAAAAAAACTTTATGTAATACGGCCCTGGCATGTAGTTATACAATATGGAACGTCAGGTTTAATCAAATATGGGATAATTGTAAATTTCTGGAGTAAGTTGATGAACTTCTTTTTTGTTCTTGTTGCTTTTCTTTTGTCCTGCCTTGTTTGAATACCAAACTTGGACCTGGAATGAATGTATACTTTCTTTTGTGAAATTTTAAAATTGTATTGAATAAAGAATGATTGAATATGTTAAAACAACAATTTTTAACTATTTGGTGACGGTTTCTGCCTATAAAAATCCCAAAATCGTAAAGTTTGAAGGCTGATTTCTCAAATATTGTTCTTTAAACAGCTTTAAGTTTAAACTTGTGAAACTTCATAATGAAATGTCGGATTAAAATGATTCTTTTAAAATTTTATAGCTCTCATTTTACTGTTTAACCCTGTATTGATAACTAAAAACTGATTTTTGCGACAAGTGATTGGTTTGGCTTGTCTTTGCCACATTTGTTGTGTTCGTAGTGATACTCATTAACAGCTGACTTGCTCTGTTTCCAAGTGTTAAAATGGCTCTTTCACAACAATAAATAATTTAAAACATCTTAAATTCAGTCCACACTAGCAGCTTTTTATGTGACAAATGATTGTATGATTTGCTCTTATATGGGTGTGATATGACATCTTCCTGCCCATAAATAGGCGCTCAATTTTCATATTAAGATTGATGGTGCAGATAGAACTTAATGACCCTCCCTGGTCTTTGGATCCATAGTGACAAACATGCACACCTGGCTTCCACCTCCCCTACCTGATATGAATGATGATGACCCAATGATGATTATGTCTATAATTAAGGCCGTGGCTATTGTTACATCAAACTTAATTGAATTCTTATATTCTTTAATCCAATCCATACATACTGTACAGCGAAGCTAATCAGTTTAGCAACCTGTTTAAGACTCGTGGTGTAACGATAGTTAGGCCTACTGCCTGTAATTTAATTTGTAACAGTCAAATACAACAGCACCTGATATATGTCATTCAAAATGCTCAAAAGTCTGGCTTTTTATTTATTTATATAATTATTATATAATATATTTATATACTGTTTTTGGTTTATTGACAGGTATCCCAGATAATGCTGGTATAAGGTCCATCTGTTGGAAGGTAATGTTGAATTATTCATATTATTATTTTATTTATTTATTGTATTTCATTTGTGTTCACAATAAATAATAATTACATACAAGTGTCTAGTAATTCAGGAATTTCAAATAGCGAAATATTTTGTTTGCACTCTGAATTAAGTTATTTTCATTCAGCTACCAATTGGGTCAAAAGCGTAGCTATAATTTTATAATCTATTTATTGTTATATCTTTGCAATTTTGTACATACAATGAATATAAGTATTTCCATAATGTGCCCCTCCCTCCTCCATCACCCACTCCTTACCTCACCTTATTCTGGTTATTATGATTATAACAATAGCATTTATATTAAATCATAAAAAGTTAAATATTCATCAAAATCCATTTCCATATAGAAAAGATAATCCGTCCCATCATAGTCACCTACCAAGTTTGTTATTTTCTATCTATGTTTTGATGTTTGGTAACTTTCAGTAAATTTTGATGTTAAAATTTAATCTTTTTTTGTTATTTTCTTACGATATGATCAATAAGGTCACGTTTAAAAGATAAGAATTTCATGCCGTGTAGGCTAACTACTGTATTTGCCAGAATAAATTATTGGATTAATCCAAAACAGTTCACATACATTTGGGATAATGTACAGTAAAACAGCAATTTTTATCTTCATCTTGAGAAACTGTTAATTACCTGTATTCAGTTATTTAATTGATATTAGCTATCCTGATCACCTTTTCTTTTTTTTTTTACAGATTTTATTAAACTATTTACCACCAAATAAAACACTGTGGAAAGAGCTGTTGAGTGAACGAAGGTATGTACTCTAAACTAGTCAAGATAAACAACATTCAGGGTTTATTGAGTATTTTATTATTAGATAATGTTTGTCACACATCCTCTGTTAATATTATATATTAAAAATGACAAATGAAAAAAATGTTTTTGTATAGCAATAATGAAATTGTTGATACGGCCATGGTATCCAGGTGTCCTAAGTTGGAAGAGTATTATGTATCAGGAGATCTAAAATGAACTACCTTTTTTAGCATTTCTTATTTATATATTTGCTGCATGTGTAACAATTGTCAGTTAACTCCACGGAGTAGCTTAATAATTAGTAACAATGTGCAAACATTCTGAATTGTAAGCATATGGTTGATCAGTATCAGAGTGTAATTCTCGTTCTTGTTATTGTTTTGTAGGATAGGACTAAATCAAGAAGTAATTATTTAAGGGGATTAGTCATAGTGAGTGTTTAAGAAGCAGTGAACTGAAAGATCAATAGTCTTCGAGGGGATTTCCCCTTGTTTGTAATATTTTATTTATAGTTTTTTTTTTGCTTTTTTTGCATTCCACAGGTCAGCATACAAGCAGTTTCTACAAGAGATGATCATTGAACCAGGAGGCAGTATGGACAGTGCCTGTTCTGACCATGTAAGTACAATAGTTTATTTGTATTAATGTTCAGTTATGTATATTATACAATTTATTGCCTGTATTCATATGATCTTTATTATTAAAAGATGTATTAAGAAATGTAATACTGTAAAAGTAAAACAATCTTCATTTTATAATATTTACAATCAGTTAATTTTGCACTTGTTGATCCAATAAATCTTAATACTGTACATTTCAAGTAAAGTGACTATGTTTGTATTTCAGCCATTAAATCCAAATCCACAGAGCCAATGGTCCCAGTACTTTAAAGACAATGAAGTCCTACTGCAGATAGATAAAGACACAAGGTAAAAGCATTCAGATTTAAAAAAAAAAAAAAAATGGTTTTTCTTGTTCTCTTTTAAATTAACATTGGAAATTTCTCCTGGGCTCGGTAATTCAAAATATTAATATTCCTGTTCTATTTAGCCTACTACAAAGAACAAATAAAGCTTATGATGTGGAGTATCTACACTGTTTTTATATTAACACTCACACCGCCAGGGTTTTGAAAAAATAGTATCAGCCACCACCAGACTTTTTAGCGAATTTTAACACTTTTTCAAAGTTCGTTGAGAGTGCGTATGTGATCAGATTGACAATAAATACTACAAGAACTACATACATCTTAGCTTTACTATGGTACCAAACACTTTATTCTAATCACAATCTGTGACCCGTAACAGTAAAAGGAAAATGACTCACTTTGGCAAACCTCAAATAATAAACAAATTGGGATTTTAACCGTCAGTTGAAAGTTGATGAATCCATCCAATCTGCCATCCTCTGATTGTCAGCAGCAAGTCTGAGTGGATCATCATTATGATCAGTTGTGCATATCTCATTGTGTTACGTACTCCATGAAATCGTGCTGGACAGCGACTGTTGGCAGTGCCTATGCGGTCTCGTGCGGTGGTTCGCAGGCCCCCGACCCCTAGGGGCCCTTACCACATAATCCTCGATCTAGCACCCTGACCCAAAAGAATGACAAACATACCATAATTAAAAAACGAGCACATCTAAATCCCACAATTGAAATGGTGACAGGGACACAAAAGGCCCCCACTCTCAGAATACCACAGGGCCCCGGCCCCATCTTTACTCCATTGTGTGCTTGGCTTGAGGCTGACAATGTGTGAAAACAAAATACTTGAGAAATAAATTAAAAACACATCTTTTTTTTCTTTTACAAAACAGGCGTTTATTACCTGATTTAGGATTCTTCCAAAGACCAACAAAATACCCCTTTAACGAAGCAGTTAATTCTTTATCTGAAAACGTTACCCTTCGAAAGAGAGTGGAACAGTCAATTATCAAAGCAGAGGATGTAGCTAAAAATAGATTAGGAATAACAAATGTAAGTATCAACAAAGCACTTGTACACATCATGAAGATTACAGTGAATAAACTATGCATTCACAACTTTTCTTTAGTGTAGCATTAATACAGAATTGCTTGCAGGCAAATTTGTTAAATGATAATCAAATGCTGTTGAAATTGTTATCACATGATCATCACATACGAATGTCAGATGAGATTCACATGATTCAATAGATTATAGTGTGTAACACATCACAGTCAGTTGCAGAGATGCATAGTGTAAATTAATGAGGACCCATTTATATATATATATAAACACATGAGAATGCCATCAATATTTCCTTTTTTGTATTTCCATTTTGTGTAGGTTAAGAAGAAGACTAAGTTACCAACATATGAGTTTGGTTACAATGCACTAGAAGATGGCCAAGAGGCGCACTGGGAAGTTGTTGAAAGAATACTCTTTATATATGCAAAACTGAACCCTGGCCAAGGCTATGTCCAGGGAATGAACGAGATCATAGGACCTATCTACTACATATTTGCCACTGATCCAGATGTAGAGTGGGAAGGTTTGTTAGTAGAGTACATTACATGGGTCCGAAATGAAATTAGAAAAGGCCACTTCTTGGACAGCTGCTTAAATAAGGTCTCTTAAGACATCTAATTGCATTTTGCTGTGTAAGGGGATACCCATCAGCACTGGCTTCAAGGAGAATTGATTTGCGGGATATTGATTACTTTCCGGGAGATTCTTGCTTGTTTCGGGAGGGTGAGAAATTTTCATGATTTCCAGGAGACTCCTTTGACTTGTGGGAGATTTGGGACCCCAGTGTACATATATTCTTGTATCGTTCAGTTAATTTAAAAGCAATTATTAAGCTTACAAATTACAAGAATGGATACGGTAGGCCCCAAATACAAGTTTGTGCACTAAAGTTTAATTCTTTTTTTTTTTTGCAGCATCCAACCACTTTAAAAAAATGTTTGTGGGCCGCAACAAAATTACCGATAGGCTGTATGTGGCCCGCGTGCCTTACTTTGCCTACCTGTGGCGTATATAGACCTTGTATTATGCACCTTTGATAATATTTTGTTTTGACTTATCTGGTAAAATATATACAGATTAAAACTGACTGAAATTTAATGTGATAATTATGTGATAATGTTTACTCTTTTCCAAGGTTCAGAGTTTCATTACGATCAGTGTATGATTATGCCTAATCAGGAGAAGCTCTTCATCTTCTCTGTTGCTGTATAAAATGAAATAGGGATTTATTTACACCAACCAACATGCTACTATAGGACTCTGTTAACTATCACTGTTTTTCTCCCATAATTCTAGAGCATGCAGAAGCCGATACTTTCTTTTGCTTCACAAATCTTATGTCAGAGATCCGGGACACGTTCATCAAGACATTAGATCACACAAGTGTCGGCATCAACGCCAAGATGAAGGTAGTCATGATGCAACTGAAGAAATTTGATCTCGAGTTGTGGCTTCGACTCAACAGCCAGAACTTGCAAGCCGAATTCTTCCTCTTTAGGTGGCTCACTTTACTACTGTCGCAAGAGTTTCCCTTACCTGGTAAGTATCCATGGATAACCTTATTGCTACTTACTAGGTCAGCCACAGCTGAGCCCCAGCAATACTCCTCCATTCATCACGGTTCATACTGGCTTCTAGCTCTTCTAATCCAGAATCTTTTTTTCAGTAAATTTATGAAAGTTAATTTTTGTCTGCCTCTGCTCCTTCGACCATGTGTGGTTTCCCAGAGAATTTCAAAATTTCAATTTCAAATTTATTAAAGTCCTTGTGGAAAATATTTTGAGTGTATAGTAAGTTTCATACATATAAGACAATGACGATGACATTGTCTTGCCTGTGTGCTATCTTGTCCCCCGACATTTGGTAGGGCCCTATACAGAATGTTGTTTGTGATTCGATTGATAACCACTCCTACATATTATTTTGTGTTACCTTTACAGGTGGTTGCCACACCTATTGTTTAATGTTGTGATTACCTTTACAGATTGTTGACCACACCTATTATTCTTGTGTTGCCTTTGCTTTGCCTGTTGGTCACACCTACCCTTTATATTAGTTTTGCTGTCTTTTACAGATTGTTGGCCACATCTTCCTTGTAGCCCTGTAAAAGGGTATATCAGGGGGTTTTTTTTCAAGGAAATGCTGATGATTTAACCTTTGCCCTCAGATTTGATCCGAATTTGGGATTCCTTATTTGCGGACAGCTCAAGGTTTCATTTCCTCGAAAGTGTTTGTTGTGCAATGATAATGTAAGTGCCTACATAAATTGTTACTGTATTCATTGATGTTCATTAAACAACATCTCTGTGTATGTCACATTCTATCAGTTTTGTTAATTGTACCCAATGAATGAGATCATTAAAATGATTTTTTTTTTTTCTTTAAATCTAGCATTATTAGGAATGAACTATTAGAAGGGGATTTTTCAACAAATATGAAACTTCTGCAGGTTTGTAAGCACTTTTTAATAAAGTATTTTTTGTATACAGTATTATATTTTCTAATATGTTTTCATGTTATTTTGTTTTTGTTTTATTCATTCATACAGTAATTTCATTTATTCATTCAATACTTTCATTTCATTCAAAGAAAAAAAAATAATTAAGGGGTAGATATGATGATCAAAAAGTTAATTAAATTAACTATTTGTGATTCTCCAACCCCCTAAAAGCAAACATTTAAAAGTAGATAAAATATACAAAAAGTACAGAAATTAGGTTAAGAGTTAAAAATTGCATTCCATTGAGATACAATTACAAACATGTGTCAACATTAAACAAGTTGTATTTAAGAGAAAACAATTATTTTAGATAAGATTCTAAAAAAATTATTAGAGAATAATATTTCCATAAACAACTTTAGTTATGTAAATAATATATTGTCTGTTATGTATTTTTACAATACCAGTATACATATTATATTAAAACCAATGAAATTATTTGATCGTACTATACATATTGTTTATCAGTGAAACAACATTGTGTACATATTAATGCGCTATTAAAAAAAATCTCATTTTATAGCATTTTGTTACTTATTTGCTTTATCTTATCCTTGATTGTTGGCACCTTTGCTATTTTTGTCTTGGTTAATGGGTTTGCTGGTAAAATTAGATGGAATTTTCTTTTTCATTTTTCAGAATTATCCTAGCATTGATGTCAACAAAATACTCTCAAAAGCATTTTCCCTCTGAGAATATAATAAAAAGTAGGATGTTAATTGAAAGAGTGAGATCAGCACAGATGTCTGTTCTTCCAGCAACAATGAAAAAAGTTGGGTGTATTATCTTATCGTTTTTTCCAGTTTTAATGAACATGATTTTAAGCTGAAATAGTTTCATCTGGTTTCTGGATGTATGAACATGGAAAAAAAATTCTTGTAAGTAAACCAATAATATACGTGCTGTTTGTAATGTTTCGATTCGTTAGCATTGAATCCTCTTCAGACTGGTTTGCTAGTTGCTGATGCTTACCGATGTTGTGGGCCGCCCTCTACCAGTAGTTTTAGGACTGATAAGCTGGTTGTAAATATTAGGAAGTTTGTATGTGCTGTCTTTTCTGTTAATGTTGTTTCATGTTTTCGTATCCAGAAACCCTCTCGACTAACCATATTCCTGACAGTGGCGGCTCTAGGATATATTTTCTTGGGGGGGGGGGGGTGCTGAGTGAGATAAGGATAACTTTGGCGCACTTCGCTATCTGAGGGCCTTCTGACCGAGCCAGGGAGGAGGGTGTCCCCCTCCCTAATGAAATTTTTTTTAGTAGGGATCTCTGGACAGCCAGAAATGACACTCTCAGACTTAAAAAATTTAAATGTAAAGTTGATAAAATGCAATTCTTATTATACTCTCAAACTCAACGCAATAAACACACATTTCATTTCATTAGGTTTTTCCCTTTGGTCTGAATGCCCGACTAACTCTGGCTGGTGGGTTGGGGGCTTAAAAAAAGACAAATTTGAGAGGCTATTTGAATACAAAAACACGGAAAAAACATGAACAGAGAAGACAGTGCACACAAACTTTCTAATATTTACAACCACCTTATAAAAAACTAGCAAACCAGTCATTGTTCTGATGAAGATCCGCTGCTAACGGATCGAAATGTTACAAACAGTAGGTATATTATTGGTTTACTTACAAGAATTTTTCCAATATTTTTAGTCTGTTTGATTTTTAACCAAGTAGTTGCAAATATTCTTGCTAAACGTATTGCCAAACTTGTCATACACTAATCCAAATGTAAGAGCACTAGTATTCAACCCAAATGCTCCGATTATGAAAACAGGTTGGAGACATTCAACTTGCTCGGCACATGTCGGATAACCATAGACGTTGACAAGGATCAGGGAGGCCATGAATTAAGCTAACAAAACAAATAATTTTCTAATATACTCTTGGAACCAGATATGAAATTCTTTGAGAATGACTTAAATGTATGCTTGAGGCCTACTTACGCAGACAGCAACACCAGCGTGCGACAACAACAGAAGGAAATAGAACCTGTTGTATGACTTATGTAATTGTACAAGTTGCACATGTGACAACATTTTGTTTATGGTGTAAAGGGATTTCAATGCCTGATAATGTTTTGTCAACAGTCCATGCCGTTGTCACACTCTGTGTAAACAGGCCTTTATTATGTTACATTTTTAAACATAAGCTCTTAAGTTCTGTCTATTTCAAAAGTTAGTGCTTTATGGCTGAAAATAATCAAGCTATAAAAAATCAGGAAATACGCTTTTTAAGAAAAAATATGTTTGTTTTAAATATTGATGAAATCTGTATTTAATGAGCAGTGATTTGAGTGCAAATAACAGTATTCCAAGACCCTGTACTGCAAAAACATGTCATTGGCTTGGGTTCAAGTTGGACAGTTATTACTGTAAGTGTCAGGATTTTTATCAGGGATCAATTAATTACGATAGTCAAAATAGCAGTCAATGGGTGTAGATAGTGTGCTCAAATTTTATAAGTACATTTTAAGGAGCCAGCATCCAATTGTATAACATGGCTACTGTTTATGATTTATTATTAATAATATTTTTTTATCATTATTTTTATTATCATTACTACAGTTTTTTGGGAAGTCTTTCAACATGATAAAGCAGCAAAATACCTTATACATACAACAACTCCCTTTTTGTTGTGTAACTTTTTTGTTTAAACAAGATATGACTAAATTTGTCAAGTTGTAGTACAGTGATGTATACTACCTGAATGTTTAAGAATGATAGTGAAGTTGTTCAAAATAATAATTATAACTTCCATAAAAATAATAACTATATGAATCTATTAATAGATATTCTACTTCTACTTCTGTTTTTATAGATTCCACCTATAAAATGCTATCCTTTAAAAAATATATATTCTGTTAAATTCATATGTTTTATCTCTGAACTATTGGGTGTCATTATAAATAGGTATCTGATATATAGCAGATATTCTATTTATTAATAGTTGAATTTTTAATATAAGTTTCTAATCTTTAAATAGATCCAGTCTATAAAATGATATCTTTTCCAAGCTAAATATATATACCGTAGAACCTCGAATTGAATCCCAATGGGCTTGATCTCGAGAAGAAGCCCATCTTGAAATGAAGCCCACCTCTTCAGTTTTCAAATGTCCAGGGCTTCAATTCAAGGTTTTACAGGTATTCAATTTATAGATAACTATGAAGCTAAATATAGATACTCATCTATAAATATTATATTTCTCATCTATAAAATGATACCGATACCCTATCCAATCAATCAGTACTTACTATGTTTAAAAATACATACACATTATAAAATAATTATAATAGCTATAAATACTGTAAGCTACCAAATTTATATTAAAATAGATCCATATATAGATAACCAGTTTGTCTGATTATAAAAATATAGTAGATTCTTGCTGATGAAGGCCACAAAAATGGCATAAACATTTCTTCATATAATGTAAATAAATGTGTTTCATTGTTCATCCGTATGTGCTGTGCTGGCTCCAGAAATTTGCTGGTGGGAGGAGCTCCTAACCAAATGGCCAACTAGAGCCTCGCTCAGGGCCCCTGAATAAAAATTCTGGGTAGAATTCATGAGGAGTTTGGTGCCACACTGACAATGTGGAATAAGCATTAGGAAACTAATACACATTGATAGATAGATAGATACATACATAGATAAATGTTATATATGATATTCAACCTACTGTATAAATAATACCCATTCTAGTACATTATTTGATATCCATTCGAAATATCAATCTATAAAATGTTCTATGAATTGGATATTAAATCTGTAAATTGATATCAATCTATAAAAATATAAGTTGTTACCAAGTTATCCAGTCCACTAATGATTGATATCACTAATGTTATGCTGACCTGTAAACCCATGTCTATTTTAGTAGTACAGTAATGTGTAAATAAAAGATTTATAAATAAATATATCTTTGATTATTAAAGTTGACATGTTTAAGTTGATGGGTTTATTTCCGGACACTCAGAGTCTGTATGATGTTATATCGTTTGCATTGCATAATATGTCTGTAAAGCTTGGTTTCCTTAAAATCGCTACACTGTCGCTATGTTGTTTTTAGTGCAATCGTTGTGCTGTGTAGCAGTCCCCGACGCAATCAGGAATGGTCACCGATTCGACCGACCAATCAGCATCAACGAAAGATGTCGGCGTTAGCGTGTAGCGATTGTATGGAAACCATGCTTTAATCATTCTTGCAACATTTGCATTGGGTTTGTCTGTCATGCAGTTAATTTCGTTTCTTTTCTTAATACTTATCACTATTTTTTTTTTAGTTTACTAGCAATAATGGATAATGGTGCTACATAATGAGCTATAACTGATTTACAACCACGTTTGTAAAACCATGGAGTTTTCGCTCCATAATAGCAGCAATGGGTTATACTACAGTGTTCAGATCCCAGGCTATGCTAATGGCAACTGATCCCCTTGAATCAGTTGCCATTAGCCTAGCCTTGGTTCCAAGCCGAAATTTGGAATACTCGGTGAATGCTATACCATAATATGATGTGTGTCATACACAAGTTTAATTCCATCCCATCTCTTTTATGGCCCTCAAATCCAATCACTCGTTTATGGAGAAACCTGTGGCAAGTTGACCAGAGCCCTGAGTAGTCGTTTTAGGTACAGTAGAATAATCAGAGTCGTACATAATTCTCTGAACATAGTTTTAGTTGATTTATTTGATACTATTTGTATATTATTATATAATACAGTATTACATTCAGTTATTCGATTATTATAATTCTTATGTGAAATTTGCTAATTGTTCAGTACTAAAGTAAACTCAGTTTCCCTTCTCAAAAATCATAAATATTAGATTTAATGTTGTTTTTCAAATACTTTAACAAGAGCATGTGTGGTCTTGTCATATCGTGAGCAACTTGTGCATGTGTTTTAAGAGTAGACCTATAATATCTTAAACCAGAGAACAAACTTCACTGCCAAACTACGCCTACGTGTATGTGGGCTGTTTATCTGATAGTTCGCAGTTCACTAGTTTAAAAATTTCTTAAATCTTTAAACACCTTGCTCTTAAATTGTATATCCAACTAAATATGTATAGGATTACATTTTTGCAAAAACAGAGGTTGATCTAGGGGGTAACGGGAACTAGCGATCTAGCGTCACCATGTAAATTAGGAGAGGTAGACTACATTATCAGGCAAATGTTTTAAAGTAATTACAGATACGTTATTTTTATATCGTAAATTTCAATGATTGTTTTACATGCGAAAAGATTGAAAAGATTATACATTATGAATAAAGGAATTGGTACGAAATAGTTCGAACAGGTGTTTTTTTTCCTTTACAGACTTTTGTATATATATA